ACACATATATATATATATATATATATATATATATATATATATATATATATATAATTTCGCTTATGGAATTATGATTTGGATCTTTCTAACTAGTGTTTTTAGAACATTGATTAAAGAATCAATGTGTAAAAAGTTATTATTGAAAATTATGATAAAATTGCACGGAAGAATGTGCAAATACATGTTTTATTAAAAGAATTACTTTTGATTCTTTAATCGATCAGTGCCTTTAGGACATTAATTAACATTTTCCCTTTGATTTTAATATAAGAGAAAATGAATTTTCACCAAGAGATTAAGTTAAATCTATTTCAATAAACTTGAATAATAAGTTTATGAAATAGACTATGAGTTTGTTTGGATATAAACTAAAAATACTTTTGAAAATTTTTGTAACACTATGCATATTTAGTAATTGTTGTTTTATTAAATTATTATGTGTTGGGATGATTTATTGTTTAATACCTTAATTGTTGAGGAACCCTAAGAATTTTGGGATCTTGAATACGTTTTAGTTGTTTAAGAATTTCTCTAAGCATGAGTCTTTGACCTGTTGGAGAAAAGTATATAAGGTTTTTTTTTAAAACTTGAGTTTTATAAGTTCATTTCTTGATAAATTTAGAGAGAGTCTATAAAGAGAGGAACTTTGGAACCATAAGTGGCCATGCTTCCTTTCGATTTTGTAGTTGACCTTTGATTCCTTCCTCAGAGCTAAGTGGAGTCGTGGTGTTGAGATTCAAGCTTGGAGATCTTTGAATATGAGTTTCGAGGTATCGTGCGGAGCTTCTAGGAGGAGCTTGTTTTCTTCATTCTTCTTCTCTGATTATTGTGAATTTAGAGGTAAATTAAGAAAGATAGAACTTTGATTCTTGATGGATTTGGGGGAATGAGTGTGGTTGATTTCAGTCAAATTGTGGCTAAATTGATGAATTGTAAGATGAAATGCATGCATTTTGGTTCGTTGTTGTTTCCTCGCCATGTTGAGAGAAATTAATGAATTCTAGTCACTTGTTTGCTGCAAGTTGAAGTTCTTGTTGGATATGAACTGTTGGTGATGTATATGTGTTGTTTAGTACCTTGCATGCTTGGATTCTTCTAAGTTTGAGGTGGTTTGGGCCAAATGTGAATTTGCCAAGTGTAAGATTCATCATTGCATCAAGTACAACTTCAAGGTGTCGGACTTGATATAGGTTAATTAAAGTCTATGTCTCATTGATGATGAGTGCGGAGTTGGTATAGTGTTGGACATGAGTTAGAGGAGAACTCTCTAACATGATCACACCAGGTGTGGGTTGAGGGACGTCGAGCGTGGATGTCCTTGAAACTCTCTGACTTGGTGAAGTTAAACCCCAGTTAAGTGGCATCCAACATAATCAAGATAGAATTTTTATGCTTAAATGATGTCGGACACTAGTGGAGTGGCGTCCGACGTGAGTCAAATAGAGACTCTCTACCTGATATGGGGTCAAGTGTGGGTTTAGCCAACAAGGCGTGATTACCACAGCGTCTCTATGCCTCATTCACGTCAGGTGTTGGTAGACTGGCATCGGGCGTGGATAAGTCGAAAAGCTCTTTATCTCATTCATGTCGAGTGCGAGAAGATTGACACTAAGTGGGGTTGCCTAATGAAAAATGTTGATTTTCTTGATTAAGTGTGGGTGTGTGTATGATAGTTGAATCTCTAACATGTTGTATGTTGATATATGGTGCTAGTTCTTTATACAATGATCTAGGATAATGTATATTAATGATTTAACTGTTGAGTGTTGTAAGTTGTGTTGTATGTTGAAATGTTGAGGAGGTTATGTAGAGAATTCTTAAGGCATTCAGTTAATTGTGTTGATTGAGTTAAAACTAGAGGATAGGTTATTTTAAAGTTGAATATCCCATTGTGTGGATATTTGTGTGATACTTCATGAGTCCAATTGTTGAAAATCCTTCTTGAGAAGTTAACTCTTGAAGTGGATTGTTGAGTCTCTTTTAAGACTTTAGTTGATGCAATATAGGAGTCAAGTTGAGTCATATTGCCTATATGCGACCAAACATGTTGATCCATAAGGGGATCAAGTCGAGCAATATGTATACAAAGTAATCAAATTGAGTAAGGTACAAGATTGAGGCCAAAATTTTTAACTAAGTACTAGAAAATGTGTCGTATTTGGAGAGTAGTCGATGGTCTTGGCCCATAGGAGGCTTAGTTATACATTCTAAGGTCGTTGTAAGCTTACACTCAAGTTGTTCTATCATGATAAATATATTATACTTTCCTAATTTAAATGTCGAAATTCGAAAAATCATTTTATGTTGTGAATTTTTATCTAAATTAGTTCTTGATCTAGCTAACCCAAAAGGATCGCATTGTTAGTTGGTTTAGTAGGCTCAAATCACTTAGATTGTTCACCTATATTGTAAGAAATCTCTTAGTTGAATGTGTAACGATATATATAATTGTTGTGTGGTGCATATAATGTATGGATTGTGTTATGTTATTCATATGCTATGTTATATTGTTGATGTGTTGTATTGTTGTGATGTAAGTTGAATAAGTTGTTGTGTGGTTAAGTTATTTATCTTAAAACGATTATTAAATGTTAAGAAGTTGAGGTTGTTGTATTGTTAAAGTTGGGAACCATGATGGTTGGTTAGGGATAAGCTAGAGGCAGAGTTGTTTTCGGGATCATCCTTAAGGATGGCAGTATTAATCTTTTGAGCTACTCCAATATAATTAATTTAATTTTCTTTTTGTAGTGTTGCTTGACTGATAACCTAGAATATATTTTGATTATTGGATTAGTGTGTCACACACATATACTTGTATAATTATTATATTATTTTAGCTATTGGAGCAAATTTTATACACGTATATATGATTGCACACATATCAAAATATTACTTGTATGTTGATCTTAGATAATATATTTGAATTTTTTATTATGAGTAGTTGAATTGTAAAATGTAAAAATAAGTTGACATGTCGTTACAATTTTTAAAATAATTTTTTTAATAAAATTTTTTTTAAATCGCTTAAATGCTTCTATCCAAACAATCTCAATATATATATAATTGAAAGGGAATACTATTATATTAGGTGAAGACAAATGGATTCAATTCCTAGTTGATCGATTATTCATTTACATTCGTTGTATACTTAGAATTTTTTATTTTTTTTTTGAACACTGCATTATTCATGATCATGCTTTTTATTCTACATTTAGGAATGATTAGATTACAATTTATATATGATGATTAGCTCAATTAGCAATGACTTTAGAATCTAATCACTTGTCCCAAGACACTTAAAATTCCACCCTTAATTTGGAAGTATACTATCATTGATACGGGGTTTTAGCTTCTAATTAACTTGTAATTATTTGAAATTATTGTACCATGCCGAATTGCCGACCTACTAATAAAATCTGAATTGTTCCAATACATATTTGTAAACTACAGTACACAACAAGGTTATCATCGGGAATGTTCATAGGAATGAATCGATCTAGCTAGATAAGCATATGATAACCCAAATTATATATTAATCTGGTTTATATATTAATTAGGTGGTTCGCTTAGCATTATTCTGATTTAGTAGGCATTATATTGTTTATGCAAGGAAAAGAAGGAATCTAAGGAAACAAAGTGCTAATAGTAACAATTAACAAAAGCAAAGTTGGGCAATGTGTATACCTAGCTAGGGGAGAAGTATCGAGTGAGAATTGAAAAAGTAGGGGACGAGAACGTTTATGCTTTTTTCGAGTTTCATAATCTTGACATAATCACTCTTATCAGTTATTGATTTCAAGGAATCCTTACCTTCCGGTTTTTTTATCATTGCAAATTAACAATAGTTGCTACTTTATAAATACGAAGCTCTATGCATGCATATGCAACCCATACCAAGAGATAAGGAAAACACTCAACAAAAACAAAATCTAGTTTCAAGTATAAGGGGTTTCTGTGATTGTTGTAGTGACACTTGTTGACTTGAACATCACAAAAAAAAAAAAAAAAAGGGTTACATTACAAGAGAAACAATGGAAGCAAGGAGGTCATCTTCTAACTCCTTTAGCAGCGTATTCAAGGCTTTTTTGTCAGGTGGAAGCAAGTACGATGAGTACTGGGAAAACTGTGGCAGAAGAATATTTGCAAGTGATGAAGACACGCATTTGGTTGCTGAGTCTGGTATTGATAGAAAAGCCTCTGATTTCATTGCTAGATACTATGCCACACGAGCCACTGACTCTCAGCACCATATTTCATCTTGAAATTGCCTTAATTTCCTCATTGCTTCCCATTCTTGAACTTCCAACCTTCTAAATGTTCCCTCATTTTGTAGTAGTTATGTGTGATTTGGACTTAATACATGAAATAATTTATGTTTATTAATAATGTAGTATCCTATAATTAAAAACATATGTTGTCTTTTCTTGGTGTGATATAAAAGAGTTATTTTTTTCTCCCTAATAGTTATGTATTAGTTGTTGTAAAATAACAAAATCGCATGTGTAAGGGAAGAAAAGGTTTCATACTTCTTTTTGAAGTAAAAGTGGTAGAAAGGGGATAGTACTTTCATAATTATTAGCAAGGAGAAAAAAAATATACGTGAGAGTCTCATAATAAGTACTATTATTCACTTAATAATTAGATAAAACTCAATAGTGTAACTTATAACTTTACTTGTCAAATTAAGGGTCAACAAAAATTTATTAAAAAGATCACCTTTGATATAAAAGGATCTTTTTGAATAAATATATTTACTAAAATAAGATTTTAATAATTTTAAAAAATGTCAAAAGGATTCATAAGTTCAAATTAGATCCTAAACTATTGATACTGATCTATATAAAAACAAATCATATAAATACTAGTAAAAAGACTTAGCATATACATAGTACATCTTTTAAAAAAAAGAAAAAGATATATAGGACTAAGAAAAATAGTCCTACAACATGGGAGTTTATGGTATCGGGATTGAAGGTAAATTTTAATAAAAGCTCTTTTGGAACTATTGGGATACAACAGGTGGAGGTGGAAAGATTTGCATACACGCTGAATTGTCGTAGTATGACACTTCCATTTCTGTATTTAGGAATACCTATAGGGGCTAATCCTAGAAAGACAGAGATGTGGAAGCCAATAATACTCAAATTCTCTAAGAAGTTAGCAATATGGAAATCAAGATTCTTATCAATGGCAGCACGGGTATGTTTAATAAACTCGGTCTTATCTTCATTACCTCTTTATTACATGTCATTTTACAAGATGCCCAATCAAGTAGTTGCAAAATTGAAAAGTATACAGAGAAATTTCCTTTGGGGTTCAAAGAATGGTGAGCAAAAAATTTCATGGGTGAGTTGGGAGAAAATATGCAAACAAAAGAATTAAGGTGGATTGGGAATCAAGGACCTACACAAATTTAATGATGCTTTGCTAGGCAAGTGGAGATGGGGATTATTTCACCAAACAGATTCTATGTGGTGTAAAGTTTTGACATCAAGATATGAAGGATGGAAAGATTTACAAGAAGAAAGGATCCTATCAACATCGTCCTTATGGTGGAAGGATTTAAAAAAGGTATGTGGATGACCTAATCAAAATCACTGGTTCAATTCAGGATATCAATGGTTCATCGGCCAAGGGGATAAGGGTCGTTTCTGGATGGATAAGTGGATAGGGGATCAACCATTGATGGAAAGCTTCCCGAGGCTATACTTAAACTCGGAACAACAAGACGGGACATTAGAAAAAATGGGAAGGTGGATAGATAATAAATGACATTGGGAACTCAAATGGAGAAGAGCATGGATTGGTAGAGAATCATATCAGTGGGAAACATTACAAACATTATTACAAGGACAAAGTTTAAGACACGGACAAACAGATACATGGAAGTGGTTGTATGACACTCAGGCATGGTAGTTACTCTGTCAAATCAGCATATGAAGCAATCCAAGCAATAACAACAATCCAAAGTAACAATGTTAGCCCATTTATCAATGTTCTGTGGAAGCTGGAAATCCCACCAAAAGTGGCAAAATTCTGTTGGAAGATGCAACACAATAGCTTGGCAACTATGGACAACCTAAGGAGAAGAAACACACAAGGACAAGATGTCAATGCAACATGTATTTTTTGTGGGAAAGCAGAAGAAACTACAAAGCATATAGTGTTCTCATGTGCAATCACAATCTGGAAGGATATATACGTGTGTTGAGCTTAATCAAGAGTTTTTCCACAATATTTTTTTCAACGTTTTCTTCAACAACCTTATCAAGTGAATTCAAACAAAGAAAGGAACAGATGGCAGGTGATATGGTGTGCAGTTACTTGGAATATATGGAAGGCAAGAAACAATTCTAGATTTAGAGGAGTACAATTCTTAAAGGAAAAGACATATCAAGACATAATTTATTTTTCTTGGCTATGGTTATCAATGGACAGCTCATTCCAGTACAACTATCAGGAGTGGATTGTCAATCCAGGAGCTTGTTTATAGACTTAGATGTAAAAGAGTAAGGGTGTGCGAGGAAGTTCAATTGTTTTTCTACACCCATGAGATCATATGTAAAATGTACCCATCAAGAATATAGAAGTAGGAACATATTATTTTGATAAGCCAAAACTCTCTTGTAAATATGGGTGGCACCCCTGGTGTCCAAATATTAATATATTTTATTTTCTGTTTCAAAAAAAAAAAAAAAAAAAACATAGGAGTTTATTTTTAAGTTTTAAACAAAATATAAGGACACTGTTCTTTATTTAATAAGATTAATGTATTTGCCGATACTCATTCCCATGATATAAGAGATGTAAAACATTAGAAATATTACACATAAATTTAGTTCGCGAAACTAGAAAAATTTAGCATAGTGACTGTTGAATCATGTTTTAACCTAAACTTTGGTGGCATCATAATAAGGGTTACTGCATATAGTGTTCACTTTGACGTTGATTTAGGATTGACATAATTTTGTCCTTCAAAAAGTTTTCAAAGAGGGTATTATTGTAACAATCCTTAATCATGTTGAATCGCTTGTCGTTCTTAATTTGGAGCTGATTCTCAACTTTATCAAATTATAATAGAAAATATCACTTTATTCTATAGCTATCAAAGCGATTAAGTTTATCATAAATTAGATAATAGATTAGTTAATTCAATATGACTTTTTTTTCTCGATGAATTTAAAAAAAAATCAATTTAATTTGGATCATTAGGAATTAGTGAATTAAATGAGTTGACTCACTTAAATTAAATAAAAAAATATAATTAAATTATATAAAATATATATTATAATTTTATATTTTAAAATTATAACTATGTTAACAATAAAACAAAAAAATTAATAAAAAATAGACATCAATTACAATTAATTTAATCAACTTATAATATTAATAATATCAAAATTGTTTCATAAAATATTGATAATTAAATAATATTAATTTGACACTAATTGTATACTTCATAACTTGTACATATGTAAAAAATTTAATCAATGGTATAATATATAATTACACAAATTAATATTTAGGAACCTAAAAATATAATAATAATAATAATAATAATAATAATAATAATAATAATAATAATAATAAAAGATATATTAGGTGAGATAGACTATGGTGAGTCATATTGTAAGTGAATTGAGTCAAATTTTTCTAACTCAATCCAACTAAAACCTGTGATAAGTTGGATCAATTTACAAGTTTTAGCTGACTTTAATAACTCTATTTTACTCTTATAAGGATCAACTTGGTAAAAAATAGTTATATCTCCTAATTAATATATATATAGAGAGAGAACGACAAGAAAACTAAAATCATGCCTCTAAGTATGCATTAATTAGGATCTTTCTCTTAATTAAATATTTGCAATAGAAAAATATAAAAATGGGATGTGCATAATCATTATATAGCGGTGTCAAAAATGATCTATTTTGATACACTAGATTAAGATGGACTCTCAAATTAGAGACTTAGAAAAATTGGAATCAATTTGTTTTGACTATAGGTGAGCCAAATAGGCTAAGCTGCATGTGCCTTGAATTTTAGGCTTATTTAGACCTATAATTTTCTTTTAACTTTATATAAATTTAAATATAAAAAAATGGTCACTCATTATTGATCAATTTTATTTGATAATTCTGGGTTAAATTTGCGTGCTAAGAACAATTTGATGTGATTATTGCCTAAAGTAATTTGATTAATATTATACGCCAAATATGCTTGATTAACTTGATCCATGTTTGTAACATTCGAAAATCTTTAAAATGAATTAAATATTTAGAATACAGTTTTAGATTAATGATGTATATGGTGGTCATAATCATTGATTAATCAATTTTTAGATGTGTCACTATAAAAAAAATATTATATATTGTGATATACAAAAAAAAATGTTATTATAAGTATAATATATATAGGTATATATTTATTTAATATTTAGGAATTAGTGAATTAAATGAGTTGACTCACTTAAATTAAATAAAAAAATATAATTAAATTATATAAAATATATATTATAATTTTATATTTTAAAATTATAACTATGTTAACAATAAAACAAAAAAATTAATAAAAAATAGACATCAATTACAATTAATTTAATCAACTTATAATATTAATAATATCAAAATTGTTTCATAAAATATTGATAATTAAATAATATTAATTTGACACTAATTGTATACTTCATAACTTGTACATATGTAAAAAATTTAATCAATGGTATAATATATAATTACACAAATTAATATTTAGGAACCTAAAAATATAATAATAATAATAATAATAATAATAATAATAATAATAATAATAATAATAAAAGATATATTAGGTGAGATAGACTATGGTGAGTCATATTGTAAGTGAATTGAGTCAAATTTTTCTAACTCAATCCAACTAAAACCTGTGATAAGTTGGATCAATTTACAAGTTTTAGCTGACTTTAATAACTCTATTTTACTCTTATAAGGATCAACTTGGTAAAAAATAGTTATATCTCCTAATTAATATATATATAGAGAGAGAACGACAAGAAAACTAAAATCATGCCTCTAAGTATGCATTAATTAGGATCTTTCTCTTAATTAAATATTTGCAATAGAAAAATATAAAAATGGGATGTGCATAATCATTATATAGCGGTGTCAAAAATGATCTATTTTGATACACTAGATTAAGATGGACTCTCAAATTAGAGACTTAGAAAAATTGGAATCAATTTGTTTTGACTATAGGTGAGCCAAATAGGCTAAGCTGCATGTGCCTTGAATTTTAGGCTTATTTAGACCTATAATTTTCTT